ACACACACACACACACACACACACACACACACACACACACACACATACGTACACATACATACACACATAAATAAAATATACAAAACATACTTTAATCAATTTTCACATAAATTACAAATGCCTACCGGTAAATCAATCAAGTAAATATATAATAATGAGAATTATAATCATCACCACCATCATCATCGTCATCATCACCACCACCACCATCATCATCACCACCACCACCACCATCATCATCATCATCAATAAAAGAAGTGTTATCACTATTCTTATTAGTAATACATACTCTTTTATACATACATATATATATATATATATATATATATATATATATATATATATATATATATATAGGATATAACAATAATACAAACTAGAAAAAAAATATTACTAAAAAAGAAATAAATTTAAAAGTAAAAATTACTAAAAGTAAACTTAAATACCAACAGTGAAGTGATTGCCATCGATGCTACCAACACTAAAACATTTTTCGCCCTCATTGGCCGCCCCCGTCAGCACTTGATGCAAATTCATGTGCCCGTGGTCGTTAGACGGACCAAATCTATTCAATTTTTCCATTTATTTGTTTGTTTAAAATTAATAGTGAGTTTAATTTAATTTAATTAATTGTAATGAAATAGAATAGAGATGTTTGTTAATTTTTCTTCATTTTTGAATGAATGAATGTGTGAGTGAATGATTGACTGATTGATTGAGATTATGATTAGAGAGTTAGTTAGGGTCCCAGCAATATTTTATTTTTATTTTATTAATTTTAATTATATAAAATGACATTTTTAATGAACGAATATAGCTTAAAGTGTGTGTGCCTTCAATCTGGTAAGTAATTCATCCATCATTTTATTTCATTTTTGCTTTTCATTAGGTTTCAATCATACAAGAAATGAATGAATAAATTAATTAATAAAAGGATAAATGATATTAATAAAAAATTAAAAAATAAATGAAAATATTATAAAATCAGAAAAATAAATTTAAACTTAAACTCTAAATATTTAATTCTAAATTAATTAAAAGCACAAATAGAACTGAGATAGATAAAGACACACATTTTTCAGCCACAATAATAATCAATTTTATTTATTATATTAAAAGTAAAATTATTTAATTGAATTTTTAGTGTTTATAAAAATTTTTTTAAAAAAGAAAATTGAAAAAATCACAAAAAATTCACTTTTACTAACGTTTATATATTCAATTTACTCAGAATAAAATATATAAATAATTGAATAATCCGTATTTTTAAATATTATTAGAAAATATTTATAAATTAATTATTTGATAATAAAAGAGTTAAATTTAAAATTCCACAAATACAACTAGCCATTTTTGTTTATATTATTATTATTAGCTGTGAGCTGTGGTAAAAGACTGAAATGCATTGTGCGAATTTTTACCTGATGAATTTCAACGTCTTCAACGACCAAATGATGCACTTCCACAACCAAATAATGCATTTTCACTACCAAATAATGCATTTCCACTTTCAAATGATACGTTTCCATTACTAAATTACACATTTCCATTGCTAAATGATGTATTTTCATGCTCAATAGGTTGAGTACTACGGGAATCTAGTAACAAACTACCAGCTCAATTCACTATATCAACGCCAAATTTAAAAAATCGAACTAAAGTACGTGTTCTGTAACACATAATGATAACTATTCAGTTGCTTCAAGATACTATATACCAAAGAACGTCAAAATTTCTAATACCAATTAATACATTTTTATGATCAAAAGATTGAGTACTACTTGAATCTAGAATCCAGCTCAATTCACTATCTTAACGCCTCATTCTAAAAATTGAACTATAGTACGTAATTTATAATAGTAACTATTCGGTCGACTCAAGATAATATATATATATGCACTGTGAGTTCGATGTTAATACATAGATATATATCCATGTTTGATAGTTCTGAAAAAACATTGAAGAGTGAATTTAGTAAAACAAATAGAAAGTACATATATATGGAGGCATTTCAAATTTTATTAAAAAAAAGTTACAGTTAAAAATTAAAAATTAAAGTTGTATATAATTACATAGACAACTAAAAAGATAGAGGAGAGAGAAAGAAAGAGAGAGAAAGAGAAAGGGAGAGGGAGAGAGAGAGAAAGATTAGCGAATGATAGAGAAACGGAGAGAAACAAAGAAACGATAATGACGTCATTAACTACCATGAAATAACATTAAAAAGTTTGTTTTTTAAATCTATGTTATCTCCATCCAAATTATCCACCACGTAATCGTCGCCATCTTCACAGTTGTCATTAACGACGCTACTAATTCCGGGTAAGTTGGGATTGGTTAACGTAGTTGAAGTTGGCATAAAGTTAAACCTGTTAATGGCTGTACCCCAGGCAGTTTTTATTAGAGAATTTTGACAGTGGTAGTCTGGGGTTATAAGATTATCGTAATTAAGTATTTGGTTAGTAATTTCTGAGCTACTACCAGTAGAGATGTTCAGCTGTTTGGTAAGTGTGCTATTGTTAGCGCTGTACTGCATATTTAAGTCTCTTCGATTTCTCAACTCGTTTGGTCTTGGCTTAATGATTGACGTGAAAGCCGAATTATTGTTATTATTATTGTTGTTGTTGATGTTATTGTTGTTGTTGTTTTTGTAGAAATAGCTGTTGTTGCTGTTGTTGTGATGGTTGTTCGTTGAGGAGCTGTTTAAAATGATCTGTACTGAATTTTTGTTTATCTCGGCATTAGCATTAGTACTATTGTCGTTGTTGTTCTTATTATTATTATTGTTGTTGTTGTTATTCATATTATCATTTGCCGGTTTTTGAAATCCGGATTTGACGTTGGGATTGGTCGGGTTGCTCGCACTCCCATTGGACGAAACCTTCGGAGAGTGAGTCGTAGTGGCCACCTTGCTGGAAGCAGACGATGATGACGTCATGGACGATGACGACGACGGCGAATTTTTAGATTCTTTTTTCGACTTTTTAGTCTTATAGCGATGATTTTGAAACCAGATTTTGACCTGGGTAGGGGTGAGGCCAATGAAGGTCGCCAGGTGCTCCCTTTCTGGGGCAGAGAGGTACTTCTGCTGGCGAAAACGTCTTTCCAGTTCGTAAATTTGCGCCTGGCTAAACAGAATTCTCCTCTTCCTTCTGTGGCCGAAGCAGAATTGAGATGGATTGAAGGGTGCCTGAGTGGAAGTTACTCCCGCGGGGCTTGGGAATGGCAAAGGCACGGACGAATCTGGCGGGTAGTAGGTGGAGAGGGGCATTGGAAAGTAGTTGTTGGTGTGCTGGAGAGGAGGAAGATGGTGGTTGGGGTGGTGTGAATGAGTTTGCGGGTGGCTGTTTGGGCTTCCCATCCATCTGGAAACTGTTTTTACGATCGCGTGGTTTATATTTTTTAAGATTAATTTTTAAATAAAATAAATTATTCATTTAATTATTTATTATTATTGTTATTGTTCATTATCTTTGAACTAATTTTTCAGAGATCTTAGCAGCGGGCATACAAATCGCATGCGAAATCGAACTCGGTCACTGCAACGACAGAACCAGACGCCACACCACAACACCACTCATCCACTAACAATTAAAGAGTTTTCCATCAGACGGGGTGACGTCATACCACGAATACTGATCCCTCTTAGCTGATTGGTCGAAATTATAGCCTGCATCTATGAAAGGTGGCAGGGAGGGTTGTGAGAAGTTTGCGGGGTGGGTTGGGGCCATGATCTGGGGGGAACGAGATGAGGAATAAGGGGCCGTTTGGAGGCCCACTGCCGTCAAATAATTCGCGAAGTTATCTGCAGTGTTTATGAATGGTTTATGATTCGGTTGTAATTTATGTGGCATTTGTATTTCAATGGAAAATACTACATAACACATTTTTATTAGTTAATTTCTTGTGAAACTGGTGCCATTGAAGTTAGTAAAAGTGAGAAAAAAAATAGTTGGAAATAAAGTTGGACAATTCGAAATCACCGTTTTAATGTGAAATCTCACGCATTCAATCGGAAATAATCAAATGTAGAGTCGAAATTTAAGTTGAAATAGAAAAAAAATCACACCAACTTATGCTTCCTACGTTATCATCAACGCCAGGTACATCCCTATCAGCATGGTAGCAGGAACCCCCACCAACTTTCCTAACGAATCCTTCATTCAGGCAGTCAGAATTCTCACACAGGAAGCCATTTTGAAAAGAATCCAAGATGGCCGACGATTGCGGTGAAAAATCTTTTTTGTAGTTGTAGCCGAGGTAGCTGCTGTCAGCCGTGGAGGAAGCCATGTTTGTGGTGACGTCATTAACGGAAATGGACGATGATTGGTTGCCGGAAAATAGGATGTCGTTAACGGAAAACGTGTGTTGAGGTAGGAAGGCCATAGATGATGATGACGATGACGATGACGATGATGATGAAGAGGACGACGAAGATGATGATGAAGATGATGGTAGAAGCGTTTTTGATGATGTTAATGATGTTTGATAGCGAAATACTGATGATGATGATGATGAAAACATTGATGATGGTGATGATGATGATATCATTATATTTAGATTACAGATACACTATAGTATTCCAATGAAAGTAAAATACTAACATTTGCCATATTTTATTATTATTATTATTATTATTATTATTATTATTATTATTATTAGTAGTAGTAGTAGTAGTAGTAGTAGTAGTAGTAGTAGTAGTAGTAGTAGT